ATTAATAAACTTATCTTGATTGAGACTGGCTGAATGACAATGGTCCAAGCCAAAACACACAAAAAAAAGGGAACCAGTGTTGTTTATGTGGTGTGCATAGAAAAATTAATCCGGTTTAATTGACTTACGGCAATCTTAGACATACTATACAATTATTTTAACATTGTTAAATATAATATCATAAATATAATATAAAACAAAAATAAATATAAATAATTACATAACCTCACAAATCATATGTCGATAAAGACCCATTACACCAAATGTGATTCTCAATCCGAGTCTGTGTTTCCTTCTAAAACATGGCGCGCGTGCTGAAAAACTTCAAAGGCGGCATCTGAGAGTGGGCATTATGATTGTTTATTATTCTGTGACAGAGAGAAGAGCAGAGAAGAGCGTAGGCGTAAAATTTCGGGCCAATGCTTTTTTCGAATCCTGAGAAAACTAACAAATATTTTTGAAAAATTTAAACGCAGAATGAAAGAGTACATTATTACCGAGGACCGAAAGTCCCTGAAAACTTCTATGTTTATTTTAATAAGTTAATTAAAGGAGCAAAAAGAAGAGAAAATTTAGTGTGATTTTTAATTTTAAATATCTCATTAAAAAAAAAATTTATTGTTTATTCTAATGGGCTTTCGGCCCTCGGTAATAATGTAATCTTTCATTCTGCTGTTAAATTTTTCAAAAATATTTGTTAGTTTTCTCAGGATTCGAAATACGCTCTTAAGAAAATATTAGGGCTGGCTATTAAATAACGAGACTGCTTATGAAAAAGAGTTTTATTTTAAAAATTATTCTACAAACGAATGCTCTCCTTCAATATATTCCCCTTCCCTCGCCACACTCCGTTCCATTTTTTTGTCTTCCGAAGTCTTCTTTTGTTAAAGCTAGGAGCTCCGCCGTTTTTCGCTTCACCTCTTCTCGAACTCGAACCGGATTCCTTTTAATGCAGACTTTATCTTCGGAAACAGGAAAATGTCATAGAGTGCTAAATCAGGCGAGTACAGCGGGTGTTCGAGCACTGGAATGCCTCTAGCGGCTAAATAACGCTTCAAAGACAGCACGTTATGGGCAGCTGCGTTGTCCTGGTTCAAGATCCACGGCTTGTTTTTTCATAACTCCGGCCGTTTTTTCTCGCTCTCGCAGAGTTGCCAAAGCTTTCAATAGTAAGTTTACAGTTTGACCCACTGGAAACCATTCAGTCGTCACGAAGCCGTTAATGTCGAAAAAAAAAAACGATTAGCATGGCTGTAAATTTTGATTTCGACATCTTTGCTTTTTTCATTCTTGACGATGCAGGAGTTTTCCAGTGCATGGATTGTCGCTTAGTTTCAACATCGTATTTGAATATCTAGGTTTCATCGCAAGTTATGATGTTTTCCATTAATCTAGGCTCTTCATGTAACCTTTCAAGAAAATCTGAGCAGATCTGTTGACGGACGAGCTTTTGGTCACGTGTCAAATTTTTTGGGACCAACTTCGCACAGACTTTCTTCATGTTCAATTCGTCATGTAAATTTTTTTCTGACAGTTTATTTATCGCCGTTTACAATCTCAGCAATCATCCAAATGCTCGTACGACAATGTCCGCGCATAATTTCATTTATTTTGGTCACTGTTTGTGGAGTTGAAACAGAGACAGGTCAACCCATGGTCATCTTCGGCGCTCTCTCGGCCTTCAGAAAACCGTTTATACCATTCGAAAACACGCACACGAGATAGAGAATTCTTACCATAGGCCTCTTCCAACAAATTATAGCTCTCAGTCAGAGTTTTTTTAATTTAACGAGAAATTGCTCATGATTTTCGTCACACATTGTTATCGGCACGAGAAAAAAACACATTCTTTTCTAACCTCTACAGAAAAAATACTACTACAGTGACAAAAATGTGTTTTCATACTGGAAGAGTAGACACTTCCAGCTATCCAATGCTGCATTCATACTACGTGAATAAACCCTTACAGAAAAGAACCCTCCAGGTTTGTGGGTGTACTATAGGCTAGCAACCTATATGTCCTATAATTCCTCGGAATACGACAGAAAAACAGAGTAGACCTAACCTACACAATATTATGTCGTTGGACATTTGAAATATATTAAGCTGCTAAAGATCCGGAACCCCTACATATGCCATAAAACAACTGCAAGGCTATAAGATAGATATATAGGCCACACTAGTGACCAAAATTCTAGAAACTTATAAATACAAAAATCGGACCGCACTCTCAGAAGAAAATTATGTGAAAGTGGATTGCAGACAAGAATTACTAGAAAGAAGCCTTTCTTGGACAAAAACGCACTGATTGGGCTCTGACACACAGAGAGTGGACATAAGAAATACTGCGAGCCAAACTGCTGCCGAGATTTATTTGTAGGTGATTATCAACAATCTATCTTGATCTCAAAATAGTCCTGATGTAAATCTAATAGAAAATTCATGGCCAAGAACCAGAAAGTTACACCAGAAGATGAGGCAAGTCTTGTAAACTCCATGACTCGAAGAATAAGTCTGTGCTAAAAAATGCAGGGTAACATCGAATTAAAAAAGGTATTTAACATTGGATGATGCGTCTGTCACTGATCTGTTTGTTATTGATTTTTGTAGCACACTTTTGAAAAAGGTGGGAGGATGAAGTAGCAGTGGATGCACAAATTTGTTAGACATGAGAAGCTGGAGAAGATTGGCATGGGACCGGCAATGTTGGGGGAGCCCAAGGCTCCCTTTGGGCTGTAGCGCCATTGGAGAGAGAGAATAAACAGGTTCCCATTTAAAATGTGGCCGCAAATAGTTTAAATTCAATTAATGGTAATTAATTTTTGAACAGACATGTTATTTCTGTTCATGACATATAGGCATGTTTTTTTTATATCAAATTAAAGTTATTTTTAATACGATATTATCAGTTGTGTGAGTTTTTACAGCCTGAGATTCCAAATCTTCTATCGCTACACTTCCCCAGAAATTTATTTTTATTGTTTGAATCATTTGCAATCTACATCTCTTTTCATTTCTTCCAACATTAAGTAAGCTGTTAATAATTTTAAAAACAGGTTCTTGTCTCATAAAAATATATTTCTGGTTATGAAGGACAATTTTCACAATATTTAACCTATATTATCCAATTATTAGCCAGTATTTACCATTACCCAGAATGTTACACACAGTATCTTTGTGTTTAAATGTGATAATACTTTGGTCCGAGAATCAGGGAGCATGCGAAAATGCTTTGAGATAAACATGTTATGTTAATAGCTGAAAAAACTTACTGTTGCCAATTTCTTTAATTAAAAAAAGAACAACAATCATGAAGTTATATTCATTAATTTTGATTACAAACTTTCGATTTATACATACTAATCTATAAAAGTTCAAAAATACACATTTAAAATATTTATTTTTACTTTGAGTTATAATTAATGTTGACCATGAGTATGTGCACTTGGTTATATAGTAACTTCTTTCCACTTCCAGTTATCAAAATTTTACAAATAGCGCAAAATTAATTACTAACATGCTAGACAGTTGGAGCTATGTTCAGTGAATAGACTATGCCATTTACATTTACAATAGATATCAACAAATCATAAACAAAGAGCATGATCCTGTATTAAGAAGAATTATTTCACACCCAGGTAGTTGGAATATCACTATTACATATATGTTTCTCTTTTATAGACAATTACACCTAATTAAAATAACTAAAATTACTAATAATGTGTAAAACACAATTTAAAGTAAACTTGAAAATTCGAATGAGAATATGTCAAATACAGAAAAACTTTTACGTTTGATGCAATTTGGAGGAATGGTTCTGAAACTATTTTTTTGTGGGATGTTTGAAATTCAATTCACAATTTGTTTGAAATTATTATTTCAAAATTTTTTGAAAATTATTTCTGAATTTAAAATCAAAATGTCAAAACAAAACATACATTTTCATAAGAAACAACCCATTAGAGTAAAACAAGCCCAATTACTAGTACTAATAACCATGAAAGTGCCACAGTATTTACTAGTCTAGATATGTGATAATCCAAAAAAACCTATAAATAAAAACATTATTATGGTCAGAAGACCATAGAAAGTTTGAAAGGCTAAAACCAAGAATAGTAGGTGAGATAGAATCAAAGAAGGAAAACCAAGTATAAATATTGGCAACATCATATAGACAAACCAAGTGATGCTTCACTTCTGATCACTAAAGAGAATGAACTTGGATATCATAAATTATATTTAGATTATTCTAAGCAATCAACATACCCTACCCTACATATTTACCTTCTAATATCCTAAAATGGACCTTTATGAATTTAACCTATTTTAAAAATTTGTTGTTTTATCAGTAGTTTTTGCATTAACTGAAATATTTAGTGTAAATATCTACACAGATTAATTGTTTAGTAATACTACAATTCAATTATTGCTGTCTATTTTAATTTTAAACAAAATTGTGACAATGACTTAACTGGTCTATATTAAGAATAATTTACAGGAAATGCTTTGAGTTGTAAAACAATATGAACCAATATATGGCAAATTAATATAAATTTAAGTAATGCCCATAGGTTTTGTTTGTAATAGATAAAATTAAAATTGTGAGCTACTAGACATTTTTTATCTACTGTTTTTAATGCATAAAAAGTAGAAACATATAGTTAGTGTTTAAATTCCCCATGAATTTTACGTAACAGTTATCAAATACCGTTCGAAATTAGGCAAGAAAATTTATGACTCGGGAAAGACCTTTGTTATTTTTGGCAAAAAATGAATGTCAAAATTAAAATTATTACTAGAAATTTAAAGTTCACTGACACAAGAACGTTTAGTTGTGGCAATTCCACATATTAAATTTAGTAACATCGAAATTATTTGCCAAATCCTTTGGACAGCTACGATCAATAGTCAGATCGGAAGAACCTACGACCTCCATTGTCAGGTCTTGTGGTCACAGAACGTGGTAAATGAAGCGAAATTTTTTATAAAATATTGCTTACCTGCTGCTCTAGACCTGATCCATTTTGGTTGGGTGCATTACTCATATTATAACAATTCAGGACGTGTGATAGAAGTTTTTTAATGTAAAAACTTCCAGTGTAAAATTCAGGAAAAGCGTCTTTAGTGAATCACAAAAGCCGTACATTCACACACGACACACAGTTGTGAAATGTCAGAATATCAACGACTGCGCAAGTCACACGGAATCCTGGTGGATTTGGAAATGTTTATAATTTTTTTTTTGATTTATGCAGGGGAATTGTTGCGATGAAAATGAACGAAAATTTGAAGAACAAAATTTATGAAAAATATATAAGTGACATTATTTTTACGTCAAGGTGATCACTAGATGTTTTTAACTTAAATGGTTTGCTAAGACCTGACCTTTAAATTTGTCAAAACATTTTAAATTTATTAATCTTCTTTTTCAATATCCGACTATTAGAATAATCAAAAACATACATAGCCAATTAAAATATTAAATTTAAATCTCTATAAACTTATTTTCTATGATATTTAAAACGAGTGTCTATTATTCAGTATTATGGACTTCTTATCCTATAAAAGATTATTGTTTATATATCAAATAAGTTTTATATGCTTAATACTTAATGTAATCATTTTAATGCTATATTTTAATATTAAAATACCATGATTTAAATATTCCAACTATAATTTTTAATGGTAACACTGTAATACAGTACCACCAACCTGATTAATAGCTATGATAGTGTAAACTAGTAAAGTACTTTATTTTTATAATATATCATTAGATAGAAGAAGATAGCGATATAAGTGACATGTATGTATTACAGAGTGGATTTCACGAAATGTCACTTAGATGCAAGCAATTGAACGGTTCTAGTTTATGTTGACATTTGTTGACAAGAACTATGTCCTAGTGATGGCTGATCCAACAAATTTTGCGGATCAGTTCCAAACCGATCCAGTCCAAAAAAATACCTGTTCCATGGATCAGTTCCAAGTCCTAGTCCGACCTTAACCCAAATAGGTACCTACACTGCGGAACTAACCCGATCCCGATCTGTATAAATGCCATCTCCAGCACCACCGTCCAAGTTTGTACATTCAATAAAAACAGATGGTATCTGCTATTTCTCTATGCTTTCATATTGAGTGAATAGATGGCGCCTGCGAAATTAATATTTTTAATTTAATTAGGGGATATACCAATTTAAATAATTATTATACGTACTTGGTAATTCCCCGAAATACCAGAAAAAATCCCTACTTACACATCGCCCTTTCCCTCCATCCAATTTTTGATTAATTGCAGTTTTGTCAGCGGCTCCGGCTGTTTCTTTTTCGTTTCGTTGTGCATTATATGTTTAATTTTTAGAAGATTGTTTTTTATTATTACACTGATTTGCTTTTGCTTTTGTCTACTTGATTTCACTTTTTATAATTTTAATTTCTAATACAATTTTTTGTTAAAAGCAATACGTGTTGGTTATTGGTAAGTTTGGGTTTTTTGTTTAGAAGTAAATTTAAGTTTTCTTGTCTTAGTTTGTAGTTAAGATGTCCAAAAGAAGTGTAATGTGGTTATACTTTTCCGTTACCGACGAAGAGAAAAAAATAGCCAAATGTGATGTTTGCAGTGACAAGTTATCCTATAAACATTCAGTCTCGAATTTAAAAAAACATTTTAAAAGGAAGCATCCTACCATCAATATTGATGTCGTGGCATCTAATACATGTGCAACATCGGGATTACCTTCTTCTATCCATGAAATTAATAATGGCCCTGGTGAAGAACAAACTATGCGAACCGAAGAGAATATTCCTAGAGCTTCAACTTCAAAACCATCAACTTCAAGCAATGGAGAATCTTCTGTGCCAGTGTCAAGCTGTGGTGTATTTTCCGTTTCCAGCAAAACCAGAAACATTCAAGGTACTATATCTGCATATATACCGAAAAAGTTAAATGCAAGTCAAAAGAAAAAACATGATGATGATTTGTTGGAAATGTTTATCTTTGACTATCAACCTTTTAGCATTGTGGAAGATCGGGGATTTAAAAAATTTGTCTCTGGTTTAAATCCGTCCTACAAGCTGCCAAATAGGCACACGATTTCTGAGACTATGATTCCTGCAGAATATGAGACTTGTTTCAGAAAGGCAAAAGAAGAAATGAAAAAAGTCAGTAATTGTTGTGTTACAACAGATTGCTGGACTTCACAAAAAAATGAAAGTTATTTGGCGCTAACTTGTCATTACATTGATGACAATTTTAAAATTAATTCTATCCTCCTTAGCTGTGAGATATTCGAGGAGAGTAAATCAGCAGTAAATTTGGCAGCCAGGATTCGGGAAATTGTCAATGAATGGGGCTTGGAAAAAAAAATCATTTTAGCTGTGTCGGACAATGCCGCTAACATTAAAAAAGCCATCCAAGTTGAACTAGGGTGGAAGTTTTTTGGATGTTTTGCCCATACATTAAATCTGATAGTCCAAGATGCACTTGCTCTACCAGCGATCAAAAATGTTGTAGAAAAAGTAAAAACAATCGTTTCCCATTTCCGCAGAAGTGCCTCTTCAAATAATAAACTAAATTCGTTCCAGAAACAATTTGGAATTGATCCCCCCAAAAAACTGATTCAGGAAGTGGTTACTAGATGGAGTTCCACATTCTACATGTTGCAGAGAACTGGAAAATCCAGTTAGATCTGTTTTGGGTCTCTTGGATGACCGGTTGCCACTTCTTGAAGCTGATGAGTGGATCCTAATAAAAGAGCTTTGTGAAGTTCTGACCCATTTCGAAGAAGCCACAAAATCCATTAGTGGAGAAACTTATATTTCTGCATCTTTGGTAATCGTTTTACAAAGAGGGCTTGTTAATGTATGCGAAAAACTAAAATTGAAAACATTTTCTGAGCCTACTATTGACATTATCCAATGTTTAGAAGATGGTTTAAGACAAAGAGTGGGAAATGTAGAGTATAGTAATACTTTAGCTCTTTGTACATTCTTGGACCCACGCTTCAAAACATTTGCTTTTGTCAATAATGATGCTATTGAGGCTATTCGAAAACTAGTCACAAATATTGTAACGGAAATGATTACCAAAGATGCAAAAAGAAATGAAAACACAGAAACAGAAACTTCTAATCAAGATCGAAATGAAAATAAGTCTACCACTCTATCTGTATGGGATTGCCTTCACGAAAAAGTTTCGAAAAATAAACCAAAGACTACACCATCTAGTTCTCGGGCAATAATGGAAATACAGCGCTACTTGGAAGATGATGTCTTACCAACAAATGCCAATCCATTGACATTTTGGAAAAGCAATCAGTATAATTTTCCATACCTGAATAAGTTGGTTAAACAGAAATGTTGTGCCCTTGCTACTTCTGTGCCTTGTGAAAGACTATTTTCAGATGCTCAATATGTTCTAGGTGACCGCCGCACTAGGCTAAGTCATAAAAATTTAAGTAAAATTTTATTTTTAAGGACTTATAAATTAAGGGACAATAATGAATAATTATCAATAAATAAATATTAATGTATGTTATAATAAATAAATATTTTTTTAAACTAGTTTGTGTTTAATGTAGGAGTTGAAAAAATTAAATATTATCCATAAACTATCACATCAATCACTTACTTTGTATAGGCCTTTTCATCAATTGTCACTTCTTTCAATAACAATTGAACTTCAAGCCATTTGTACATATTTTACTTGCAACTGCTGTTTGGAAGATTCTGCAATGGGGACATTAGGTAGTGGATATCCACTAATAATGCATTGTCCATATTTATATTTATATTCTTCATTTTACATGGGTAATAAGTACCCACATATGCAAAAGTATAATAATGACCCTTAAAATAGTATTTGTAATTGCTGTTCCATATTGTATGATGATGATGAGTATTATGGGTTTTAGATTATGGTATTCTTTAACTTTAAATGACAAAATAATATTTAAATTCAACGTTTTATCGTGTTTTATTCTTTTCAATTTCAATGTTTTTATTTAGGTAACAAAACATAAACAAATACAATTTTAAAATTTTATAGGTTACTTTTACAAAAATATTTAATGTCTTGTCAATAGTTGTCAAAATAAAAGATTCAAGATTCCTACTCGTACTCGTACAGATACCGTGCAGCGATACACAAATAACTGAAATAACAGATCCAGACTGGACTGGGTTTGAGTTTGAGTTGAGTACGCGTACGCGTCCGCGTCCGGGATCAGGATCAGTCAACCTGCCAATTCGAATAGAGAGTAGAGTATCGAGTTCGACGTGACTGTCACACTACGCTGAGTTTGTGTTCGGTGTTCGTGCAGTCGGACTCGTACTCGTACTTGGATCTATATGTTTTCTAGTGGATCGGTTGTTCCACGGTTCCAACCGTAAAGATCAGTTCCAGGTAATCAGTTCCAGTATTAGGCAGCCATCACTACTATGTCCATAATGTTTGTTTAGAACTATTTACAGATAATATCCAAAGTAAATTGAAAATTAAAGTTAATTAGTGTAAGACACGTTACTGTGAATTCTAAGCATTCGCACATGGTAGGTGTTTCTCTGTAGTGTCAAATTATCTAGTAATAATGCAGCAAAGAAAGTGCGTTTTGTTAAATCCCAAAGCAAATATCCAAATAAAACGTGATCGAAAAAAGAAATTTACAAGAAACTCAGGTAGGGAGCACGTTAAAAGTGTCTTTTAACATCAAGATTTGCTCAATATTTAAAGCTTAGTATGGCTTCTTAAATCTAAAAGGTTTATTAACCCCTGAGCACTTACTACTGCATGTATTGGGCAATTAAGTTCTGTGGGTAATTTCACGAAAGATGAGTTGTAACAGTTCATTATTTTCATTTAGCATGTAATTTCTAATAAAACACTGCCATTCTAGGTAATAGTATTCCTACATCCATTGTTCTATCAGGTATCCTTGACCAACATTTTGAAGGGTTTTGTACTTGCTGCTAGTGTTGAGTGAAAAGTATCTATTAATAACCTTATTGTTTTGTCTAGAGTGAATACAGCTTTATTAAACTTTTATCTGTGGTTTTAGTCACATTTAGCTTTTATAAAAGATAATGGTACTCAGACAATGTTACCATTTAAGTCAAAATTATAAATTATCACCACTGTTTGGATATAGGGGGGTAAGTCTCTGTTATTTTGTAATTTTGAAGTTGTGAAGAGTATAATTTTCACTTTATTCTTGTGACAACAAGAGTCATGATAGGACTTAAATGTTGTTAGTACTGCAAACAGTTGAAATAGAGAAAATCAATTTAATTGTACAGCAAATTTTATTTATTATTAAATATCACACTAAAAAATTATAAGATGTGTTCTTAAAGATTCCTTATGCATTAAACAATTCATTTTAACAGATAAAATAAGTAGATTCAGTAATTGTTTAATTGTGGCATTTAAGTTTTAGAAGCTCATATTAAAATATACATACC